AAACGTGTCAGCCGGTGCTTACCCAGCAGGAACTGTTAGTTAGGAAGCCCCGGGCCAGGCCCTTACTCACAGCACTCCTTTAATTTGATTTTCTGCAACATGTAATAGAAACCCCTGTACGAGGAGCTTTCTGTCTCCAAGACACAAACCAGTTGCTCGCTGGTGAGAGGACAAGACTAGTCTCGTTTCACCAGTACTAGATCCAGGCTTTTTAGTCACGAGCTACAGGCAGCTCTGAGGAGAGCCAAATGCCACTTCAGCCTTACTAAAAAGCCACTATCTCAGGAGGCTGCTGCAGAAAACGAGCTGCAGCGACAGGCTACGCTACCACCAGGAATAAAAATAATACATCTTCCATCTGCGTGTAGGTGGGAAGCAGAGGATCTCAAAGCTTCTTATGCTGGGGCAGCAAACAGAACCTCAGCAGTGCTGAGGAACAGGAAAACTGGCAGAATTCTGCCACAGGCGTGGGGCTGTAGATCCAGGGCCCAGTTATTTTGGGGGGCAGTCAGGACCGTGCAGGAAGAGCAGATAAGCACATAAGGAAAGATGGGGAAAAAAATGGGATTTTAGTCTTAAGGAATGAAGTCACAGATTAAAAATACTATAACAACAGGACTTTCAGTTGACTCAGTGTTTTCCAAATGGAGCATGGAACTTGTTACTCCAGACCATCATTAAGGTCTGTTAATTTACATGCTGCTCTGAATTTTGCTGAGTCGGCAGCAACAAAGAGCCCGAGACCAACCATCACTAAAAATCAAAGCCCTGTGATTGAAGATTTTGCATTTAAACCCGAGTCACAGAAGATTATCTACCGCCTACCTCAGGAGATAAGGTCAACGGGCTTAACTCAATATAGCAAAACCCACACCCTTACCCTTGATTAAAAATATACAAAGGGAAAAAAAATAAGGTAAAGGCACCACAGAACGACAAGGAAGCATGTTAGGAGAAATCCTGCTAAAAAAAGTGGGAGCTGAAGCGTAAGCAAAGCTGGTTGAGCGGCACAGGGAGTACTTTGAACTTCTGCAGAAGATGGTAGTGTTTGTTTATTGCCCAAGATCACTCCCGTGAGTCAGGAGCGCTGGCCCAGTTTCTTGTTATCGACTTAGATTAGCAGGTGGTAGTTCTGAAGTAAACTGATTATACGCCGCATAATAAATAGATTTCTTCATCAAATCCCGGAGGAATCCCGATGCCATCAGGTAGCA